TATATATACTCATGAGTTATTAGGCATGAGAAAACAATGAGTATGTTGGCTTTAGAAGTAATTAGCATTTATGGGTAAAACATTAATAAATGTGTTAAATCATACCTTACTAAGTCTGAATTATCCTTACCTAATGATATTTTCAAGGTTAATTAACCTTTTATTAATGATTAATAAAAGCTAAATAAGGTGTAGCTATTATAAAGTGTTACCACTTTGGGTAATACATAATTCAACAACATAATGCAGCTCATATTAACGCATCTTAAAATGACAGTAATTAGTAGTATATAATGTAAAACTATGATGTAAATATAACTCTGCTTTAGCTAATACACACAAACACTCTTTAAGCTGAAAACTTCTTTTTTGATCAAAACATAATCATCCATTCAGAAATTCACTATTCCTCTATGGAAACGACGTGCCAAACCAAACTCAGTGAATTGTTTTGTGTGATAATGTGCTGAAAAGGTCTTCTTTAATAGATGCTGAGAAGTGTGACTTGGCACGAGGTTAAATCATGTACAACATGGTTGAAGCGGTGATCCAAACTAAATCCCTCACAGATGATTCATGGTTCTTTCCTCACAACACTTGTACTCAATTATTTATATGCACAAGTTGTTATTTCCCCAAAGTTTGGGAGTTAGTATTCAAATGACTCTTTAAAGATATGAGCCATGATGCCATTATTTTGTCACTCTGTTATCCATGTGCCTACCATCTGGATATTGAATTGTACAACAATGGAATTTCCTGTTGACTAACACTAGAACTGTCAAAGTATTAGTGGTTCTTATGAGCGCTCGTAAAATCACTTAATCATGTGAGCTTGTGTGAGGTGAGTATGAACGTGTTAGTACTGTAGACAAATCTCTGAGGAAGAGTGTGAAGTTTTACACATCAATAAAAGCAATGTGCCGCAAACAGTAGGCAGCTTCGACAGGAATGTCTTTGGCACTGATCTCATTGGCATCCAAACGGAGTACTTTCAGCTTGGAGAAGGTTCTTACGTCGATTGTGCTGCAGAAACTGCTCAGGGAAAATTCTGAAAGGGACATCAGAAATGAAAGCAGGTTAAACCTTTAATACCTACTTCTCAAAATTTGCAATATGTCAATGCTAAAATATGAAGTTGAGATTGCATATTTCTGTTTTACAGGAGTGCAACAATTACCAGATGTTGAAAATAAAATTAGAGGACAGGACAGTTTGTTTCTATAAATTTAAGAAATCTTGAACTCAGCCTTGATAATAAATGACGTATTTTTAGAGAATATGTGATAAAAATATTTGGAAGTTCATGAAGTTGAAAAATCAAACCAAATCTGATTCTCTGGATCAACACTTCTTAAACGAAAGTGCTGTGAAATCACAAAGTTCACTTTGTTCACTTTCACTCCTACAACAGAGCAGAGAATTAAATATGGTCCAGCCTAATTCTAAATAAAACTAATAAAAAATAATAACAATCTGAAGCAATTATGGTGATGTGTGAACTTTAAACATTTAGCCATACTCCGGGTAGTTTTAGAACATTTCTATGAAACGGGTAAATTACATTTCCTCACACACTGTGCAAATCAGACATCTATAAATATTAATTTGTGAGCATCTCATGATGCCACTTGAATAAAATGTTAGGTGGAAAGCATCGGTCCTTAACCCTGGTTCTCGAGCGTCACCATCTTGCATGTTTTAGATGTTTCCCTGCTCCAACACACCTGTTTCAAATTGATAAAGGCTGGTTTATATGTCAACAAAACATGAAACTAATGAGTATAAAACCATCATAATTCCTCCCTATACTCTCCCACAACACTCCCACAGTGTAGCAGCCTTACACATATGTAGTTGTGTGAGGTAAATACATAACTATGCATATATACAACAGTGACAGCAGGATAATTAGATTTTATTGTGTTACTAGAACAACGTATCAGAAGAACAACGGAAGATTCTGAAAAATCAGACAATGCAAACAGCATTGTCTCCCAGACAGAGTTCTGAGATAGTGCAGTGTACAAGGTGGGGTGTCGAACAGAAGTTATGCAATTTTTCTGATGCCAGACTGTAAGTGAGATGTGAGACAGTGAGATGTGGAAGAAGTGATTGACAGGCTGCAGCAGAACTTGAATCAGAATCGGGTTTTTTGGCCAAGTATGTTGACACACACAAGGAATTTGTTTTCGGCTGTTCGTGTCTCTCTAATCTTTACAATATACAGGATACTTCACATATAATTTATACAGTGGACCTGCTGAAGAGAAGAGAAAGTATTAAAACCTGCAGGATGGTAGCCCTCAAGGGCCAGAATCAATGACAATCGTTGTCAACTAAGTGTAATAGATAAAGGATGAAGATTTTAAGCTTTACTGTTTCCAAAAGGTGTATTTTATCACTTTTTAGTACCTAATTAACTAAATCAAGTCACATTCAAAGCATCAAATGTACGGTACCATTTTAAATTTCATCACTTATTCTACATTATGTGTTTTGATAGATTGAAACCATATTATACCTTTATGTGAATAACACAAGCACACCGCACATGTATATCCTGGTTAAGTGAAGTATAATGTGAATCTTTCTGTATATTGTGTAATATGTGTAAATTGTATGTAAAGTATCTGTACAGTGTTAATACTAGAGAGACACAAACAGCCGGAAACAAATTCCTTGTGTGTGTCAACATACTTGGCCAACAAATCTGATTCTGATTCTGATTCTGAATCTGATTCTGATTCTGATTCTGATTAGGCTGCATGTCCACAGCAAGCTGCAGATGCTGCTCAGGAAACAGGACCTCGGGCATTCTTTTTCTTTTAAAATCATGCTGCTACTCAAAGTTTGGCAGTAAAGTTTCTCTACATCCTCTACCTGCATTTGTCATATATATATATGCCTGATTCAAAAAGTTCAAAGAGAAAAAGAGTAAAAATGGACTTCTGTTCTGTAGCTGAATCATCCCATCCCTAATAAAAATTCCAAGACTTTCTGTGACTTTGGGTTACAGTTAAGTATCCATACCTTTGATCTTATTGGCTTGTAAGTACAGGTTCTCCAGGTTCCCATTGACAAGAGGGATCTTTTCCAGTTTGTTAAAGGACAGGTCAAGCTCAATGAGTGTGCTGGTGTTGAAGACGTGGGATGGAAGCCCTTTATCAGTCAGGGTGTTGTGAGCCAACCGGACAAACTGCAGTTTAGGACATGCGGTGAGGAAACCACCCGGCACCTCCTCTATGTTGTTAAACTCCAGATAAAGCTGCTGTAGCGTCTCAGGAAGGGTCATGGGGATTTTTTTCAGCTTGTTTTTTCTCATGTCAAGCTTGGTCAAAGACTTCAGTCCCTTAAAGCCACCTTCTGTGTCCTGTATGACATTTCCCTGCAGCTCCAGAGTGGTCAGGTTGGTCATCCCCTTGAATGCGTTGGACAGAACTTTTGAGATCTTGTTGTAAGAGAGCCTTAGGTCTGTGACAGACTTGGGTAGGTTATCAGGCACACTGGTCAGTTGGTTGTGATCCAGGTGGAGCCGATCCAGACTTTCTAACTTGGTGAAGACACTGTTGCTGATTTTGTCCGAGCTGAGCTTATTGTGAGACAAAATGACCCAGGCCAGGTTAGTAGCATTGTCAAACACCCCCTTCTGGATGCCCGTGATCTGGTTATGTTGCAGGTAGACATACTTTACATGCGAGGGAACGTACGGAATGTGCTGAAGGTTGCGGCCGTGACAGTACATGGCTGTTGGGTAGGATGCTGGACAGTCACACTCCAGGGGACAATCTACCTCCTCCGCCTGCCAATCGGCATTCTGCCACCGCCTTCGCAGGTGGGATAACCACTGGAACGAGCCGTGATTTTGGCCCAGGTTCATATCCACTAGTCCCAGTAAGAGAAGCACCACCAAAAGCCGCATGATCACTGATGGAAAACAAACAGAAAAACTGGTTAGTTATGTCTTTTAAAGGCAAGAGGAAGGAAAGCAATTATTACATAAACCTCTAAAATTTCATCTCTGCCGTAGGCACTCTTATGAATTTTTAAACACAGAAAGAACAACATACCCACTGGTTGCTTGATCTTTGACAATGGCTTCTTCTTGGCTCACCTCGTCTGTGTTTTTCTTTGGACTGAGGAGAAGATGTTGCTGGGAAAGTGTAAATACCACCACCCGCTGCAGCTATAGCTCCAACCGCCCATTAGTCTACATGCATTTTCCCCCCTTCATGTAAACTACACTGTAACATATCACCTCCAGCTATGTATATAACAAAACCAGCTGTAAACCGTGCAGAACATCTGCTTTTTAACAACCTAATTTTCCATTACAGCACTATACCTTGTTCTTAGCATAGCTGACACTATACTTGTGTCATGATGAAGGTCACAGAGGGTGGAGTCCATTGTGGCACTAAACATGCAAAGATCTTAATCAGAGCTGATATTTCCGAGGCTGTCAATGGCACAAAAAAAATCAATTAAAATCTAATTCCTGAGTGTTAGTGTACTTTTATCAGTACATACAGTACGTACCTGTAAAGGGTGCCAAACCCTGTTATTAGTCCAAGATAATAGTTCTTGCACATGTTTCTCTTTTTCTGCATGCTTCAGACTCTACTTTTTTTCAATTATAGCATTCAAAGCCGTAGAGAACGTTAACATATGGTTGTACTGGCGTCCGTGTACAGAGGGGAACCATTATTATTTTGCAAATACTTTTCAGACCAGGGCTTACCACTGACATCCTCCTCTCTGTTGCAGGAAAATTAAATGCAGATAATGACGGATTAGCTAAACTCTCACTTCCTCAGAAGGATTTGTTTTGAGACCCAGCTCCACCACACGGAGATTTGAAATGGACTTTGTTCAGAGCATAACAGCCAACACAAACCATCTTTCAGCTTTAAGGTTTTAAGGCCATTTCTGACCTGGTCTTAGATTTGGGTTGCCAAAAAATGATAACACCGTGTTCTCAGTTATTTAAAAAAAAGAGAGAGAAAATATAGGGCAAAATGCAGATGCAGTGTGTGAGGAGGGAAAAATGCCTACCCCTTTATTGATTCTGTCTGTATTAAGAGGATAAGTAGAGTCCAGATGCTGCAGATCATGAACGTTTTATTAACTGAGCATCAGCTGTGAGTGCCTTTATGAAACAAAGATTAATCAGGAACATTCAGGTGTGTGTTTTACACAATACCCCGGAGGAAGAACATCAGCAGTGGGATAGCAGGACCAGATCCGTATTTTGGGGCTTTTAAAATTTGTTCAAATTGTTGACATTTTTTTATGCATACCTAAAGGTTTATGTTTGTTACCAATGAAAGAAAGACATGTTTCTCTTCTACATTTCATCTGATGGAAAATTACCAAGAAATATTTTTAGTAAATAAATAAAAGAAATTCATTCCTCTCTCATTCATTCACTCAAATAATGAAAAGTTGTCAATACATCAGTACCAAAATAAACAAATATTTGTAAAGACAAACATACTTTTAACAGTACAACACAACGTAAAGATTATATATTACAAGAGGTCGCTCATTAAATACTTCTCACTCCAATAAAGATTATTGTTATTAATTTTCTGGAGGGAGAGAAGATGTGAAGTGAAACTTTAATTAAAACAAGTACACATATTTAAATTGTGAAATAAAAGCACAAGAATAACAAAATCTGTTGTTATTCAGCATTTTGCTGAAAGTTGGCTATTGAAAAACTTCAGTCAGGGAAAGGAAATTGTTTTAGAGATCATGCTCCTCGTGAGCACGAAGACAAGATTAGGGGTCTGTGACTGGATGGAATTTATACTCATGTCTACCATTTGAGATAAAAAACATTAAATGAAATTCTCACATGCAAGTGAAACTAATATGCATCCTGTGATGGTTGGAAAATTAATCCATGTTTGATGTTATCAAAACATAAATCCACATGGGTAGTGTTCCTATAAGAGAGAACTCAAAAAAAGCAGAAAATGACCTTTTTATTGAGTCAATTATATTGTTTTCCTTTCTTTAACATAGCTCAGCTCCAGGAATGTTTTTCCTGTAATTTTGTCCATCAGCAAGAATCGGCAAAAGAGCTTTATTACTAAATTGCGTCAGATTTACTGGAAATGTGGAGCAAAAAATAAAAAATAAAAGAACAATAAACTTGGTGGAGGACTGTGCTTGGTGAAATTTTGTATACAATAAATGCCACTGAAGACCTTAGTTAGGTAAGTCATTAAAACAGAAACAGCCAGGAACCGCCAAACTCCCTTTGCAACACTTTTTTTCAGTTTAAAGTATTAATAAAACTAAATTAGTCTCAAGTTGAAGACATTTTATTTGTCAATGTGAACTTGAAAATAAACCTGCTGTTGATGTAGCTAGTTCCAGTGATTACTTTGTAAAAGTTTCATCAAACTCTGTCCAGTGGTTCGTGACATATTTTGCTAACAGTCAAATAGGGTTTATGCCAATATTTAAAGTTTTAAGCAAAGATGTTGAGTGATGTGTAGTGCTTGGACTTTGTGTTTTTAATTATTTTCAGCTACCACCACCCCACAACACGTTTTAGCTCAATATCTAAAATTGACCAAATTTTTATGTTTTCTACAATCAGATGAATGTATTATTA